TTCTTATTAACAAATATACTTATATCAATTATTAACCTGGACACACATGATGTCGCAAAAAGAAAAGAAGTATAGCAACCAAACTTTAAATCAACAACCATTTCATTGATAACTATACCAATTCCAAATACATAATTACTGTTTGTGCAATAGTAAATAATAAGGCATCTAAACATACACAAAACTTCTATACATGGTTCAAATTCAATAATCACTGCTACAAAAATGACAATAGACGACGGGGAAACACTGATATCGAAAAACTTGGAGCAATATACAAGCTGGATTGTTGTTCTACCAACCTTGCACCAGCAGAGGCCATATATAATCATGTATGCAATTGCTTCTGTATTCACACTGAGGAGCTAAAATGAAAAAGTCAAAGAAGACTAATTTGAAGCTTTAGAAAAAGAGAAGGGAAAAAAAAGATTATATTGAAGCTTACTACATTACAATCAGTGAAGTTGTTTCTGCCCAAGTTGTTTCTGTGTAGAACCAGCTTATTTTTTTACACAACTTTGCACCAAACCCTTCTCCGCAAAGGGTCACAAGAGCTCTACTTAACCCAACCTAAAACAAGAACAGACAAGAAAATAATTAAAAGCAAAGGTCTGCAATCATACTAAGTATATAAACTTTATGTGATCCCAGATACAATAAATTTCAACATCTACACCAGAATAGCCAGCAATTAGAATACTAAAATATAAAAACAAGACAATTAAATGTTGGTTCAAATTCATATTGGAGATAATTTCCTGCATTTGACAAACTGATCATGAAGAAATAGTGGACGTTCTGGGCAGTTGACATCATGCATACCACATTTGTCTACCTGCAATCTGCCATAATTACATTAAATCATAATGTACACATAAATTTCACGGGACAATGAATCTACATGACAGATGGTTCTTCACAAAATTCATCCAGACCTGCAAGGTTTCTATACTTAACCTTAGAAAGTAGCCTCACTTATGTTCAAGGAAACACACTACACAGAAATCAGATTGATAACGAAGCTGTGTTTCCCTGTTTGTGTCATCTTCAAATTGCAAGATGTTTTTTCATAAGAAACCATACCTGTAACCAAATAAAGAAGGACTCAACCAACTACTTGCTGATCTTCAGCGAATAACTCATCATAAATAACCATGAACCAAAGATCAAATCTAAAACTAAAAATAAACAGCAATCAATATGAAACATATATAGAATTGAAATTCTCATTTAGTTAGTTTAAAAAACCTAAATTTCTGCCAAATACCAAGATAGATTCGACCCCAAACACCAAAAACCTAAAAAATATACATATGGCCATGACCATCTAAAATGCCTTATCAATAGTTTCATTACAAGCCAACTAGTGCGTTTTTAATGAGAACTCTTAACGACTCAAATTTAGATTTTTTAAGAAATCAACAAGAAGCCATTAAAACTGAATGAAACTAGCAAAAAAACTGGCGGCAACCTCATGAGTTTTTAAGATCAAAGAGGTTATAACTTATAAACATAGTTGTTAGATAAATAAAAAGGAGTGATAATTTCATTTCCTTGCATTAGCTGCAAAAATGAGTCAAACAAAAAGATAAAACATTTCCAATTTAATCTCTCCAAATCAGTTTAACTAATTCCATAGAACTATTTGTGATAGAAGATTACTATCAAGGTCTGGTATCCCAGATGAAATAAACATTGTGCCATTAGGGTCATGCTTGAGTCCGGGGATTTGAGATGAGTTTGCAGATGCAAAGTTGCGGGAGAAGCTATTTGTCTGAGAGTCTTGGTCACAAATATGGCTGCAGAATCACTCTCTACCACTCTCAATCAGAGCATCCAAATAACAGGGGAATGAAGATTGCAGCTCGGTCCTGATTAATAGATGCTTGCATATAAGATTTGCAAGAATAAAAATTCAAAAACCTTAACAAATGGATAATAACCATCATCCAGTGACGTAAATACCAGCTAAAGGAACAAAGAATACCACGTTAAATCTAAAGACAAAATAAGTTACAACTACATAAAGACCATTTTCAACAAGAACGCTGGAGCTTTTACCTTTAACAAATCAGAGCATTAACCTCACTCAGGCATTACGATTTGATTCACATGGATACCCAACGGAACAAATCTGAACACACATGGATACCCTAACCCTTTATCTGAGAGAGAAACCCTATCCGAGTCAAAATTGAACCCCAAATCCATCGCAAATTGAACCAAAATCAGAGATAACAAGTTGGAATTAAATATTGAAACCAATCGAGCGTCTTATGAAAGAAAGGGGCCTGAGACACTGAGAAAGGGGATTGGCCAGAGTTCTTATTAAAGAAAATGTTTGTGCAAATAATCTCACGGGAGAATATTCGCTTCTGGATCCTTCGACCTTCGATCTTCCTTCTCTCTCCTTCTCGATTCCTGTAAAAAATATTGGAGTCAATAGACCACACCCGGGGGGTGTTGGCCAAAGGCCCTCCGATGCCTAAGTTAGTTCGAGTGTTTGTAGGAAAACAATAACTAAGCAAAGGGTACGGAGTTGTATGTATGGTGTGAACCGGGCGGCCGGAGCCGTGTGTGGTGGCCGGAGCCGTGTGGAGAAAATAAGGAGAGTGGAGAGGGAGAGAGAGCTTCAGGTATTTTCTCAGGTATCAGGAGTAGGTTTAGATGTAGGGTTTTTGAAGTACCTTGAATGATGACTGAAGTCATCTATTTATAGGAGCCTCGGGGCTAGGGTTTCGTAGAGATCGAGTCGGGCTTAATAATATCTGAATTATCTTGTTAATTATAAGATAATATCCTATAATTAGGATATTATCCCTTTGATAAGATAATAACCAAATTATTGATATTATCTCAGTAATTATAAGATAATATCCCTTTATCATGATAATATCCCAATTAATGATATTATCTTTATTAATTATGAGATAATACCATATAATTAAGATATTATCCAAATTAATTAATTATCCCAATAAATGGTTTAATTAATTAATTTAAGGGATAATCTTCTTTTCCACGTGGCGTGCTGTGATTGGAGACGAAAATATTTGCTCCCACAAATGCCCCCCAGCTTTTGCATGGCGCTTGCGTGGCATGTAGGAGATGAAATTATTTTTCGGGCTCTCCAACTGTATCTGGGCTTTCTTTTGCGAGTTGGACTCCTTTTGCAGATCGGTTTTCCAATTGGAGTAGGCTTCTGACTATTCTTGGAGTTGGATTCCCAGTAGGAATGAGCTTGCGATTCCTTCTTGACCCGGGTTGTCCAACTTGTATAAATACAGGGCTTCTCTTCACTCTCTCTCATATCGCAAACTTAACTTCTCTACTTTTTAGCTTGAGAAAGATCTTGGAGAATTTGTACTGCTTGTCGAAGAGAGGAGTTGCCGTGCATCCCAAGGTAAGTCAAGCACGTATATTTTTTCTTCGTCTTCTCTTTTTCGTCGCAAGGACCAGCTAGGTAGGACTAGGCTGGTTGTCGTCGTGACTGGTGGCCGAAGACGGTTGGAGAGGCGGTGGCCATTGGTGGCTGTTAAGCGAGTATCGGGAGGAAGTTGGTGGTCTGCCCCCTGCCCAAGATGTTGAGAGATGGAAGCAGAATAGTCTAGACTCTGATGATCTGCTTGTTGGGCAGGATGAGTGTTCTGCCGAATCCCCCGTTGATGAAGAGGCCAAGGATCCCGTTTACTGAGAAGACTCAAGTAAGAGTTGGTCCCTCGTCATCTGCTCGGGTGAAGGGTTCTTCTACAACGTCATCGGCTGATCAAAGGGTTCTTCTACAACGTCATCGCCTGCAAGGGATGTAGGCGTGTCTGATCTGCTGAAGACAAGCTTTCTGTCAAGACCAACCACTTATGTTGAGCTAGTTGATCAAATACGTCAGGCTGGCGATGGTGTTAAACGTCATGGATCAGGCATGTGGAGCTGCTGAGATTGTAGCTGATCATGTGGATGCTAAACAAGCTGCGGATCAGGGATCTCCTGCTGGCGTCTCGGAGTAGATGAAGACTCATTTATTTCTCTTCAGCTTTTATAGTCTGCTTTCTTGTTTAGAATAATTGGTCTGGTTTGACCATCTTATTTTTGTTGAACTCTGCCAGTTGGTCAGTTTGCAATGGAAATTTCAGTTTTTTTCTTTCTTTCTTCTTTCTAACATCAATCTGCATAGTGTCTTGTGAACTGCTTGAGTATCTCTGGGTTGTGGCATATTTGGCATACATCCGGAGACATGCAGATGAGAGTGGCATGTTTGACCTACATCCGGAGACGTGTCAATGAGTGTGTGGGGCCTGTTTGGCCTACGTTTGGAGACTTGTCGATGAGTGTTGTCCATTTGGCCGACGTCCGGAGACGTGTCAATGAGAGTGCCCGTTTGGCCTACGTCCGGAGACGTGTCGATGAGTGTGGCCCGTTTCGCCTACGTCCGGAGACGTGTCGATTGCTTTTGTGAACACTTCATTGGAAAGAAATGCTTGAACTTGTATTGATGTCGATGTCACTACATTGCTTTATTGAACAAAAGAGATGAGTTGCACGGGTAACATCAAAAGTAACCTGGCTTTAATGAAGGTGAAGGAGGCTCGGCCGCCTGCTTAGAGGCGAGCTGATAGGTGAGGAGCTTCGTGGATAATACCCCTGGAGGTGATGGGCATTCCATTGTCTTAGTACCTCCTTCCCTTAAAAGGTGATGCCAGGATCATCTTCCATGACTGGGTAGCTGGTGACGACTTGGGAGATGAAAGTTGCTTGCTTGATCTTTCTCTTCTGCTCCCTGGTGGTCAGCCCAGACTCTCGGAGTCGGCTAGAATCGTGTTGATCTGTATGACTTTTTTCGTGGAGGCTCATTGGCAACTGCATTGCAATCCTTGATTTGCTGGATAGACCCCATTGCAATGAACTTCGTGCAGTGGCCATCTCTGACCAGCTCTTCGAGGTGCCTTTTCCAGGCGGAACAGTCGTTTGTGTAATGACCGTGCCCTTCATGGAATGCGTAATATCTACTGGTATCTTTCTTGGCTGGGTTTCCCTTCAAAGGCGATGGTTTCTTCAACCAAGGCATGTCCCTTACTTGGGCTAGGATCATCTTTCTTGGCTAGGTTTCCCTTCAAAGGCGATGGTTTCTTCAACCAGGGCATGTCCCTTACTTGGGCTAGGATATGGTGAATTGGGATAGTGAACTTGGTGTAGCTCTCAGTTGCTGGAGTACTTCCTTCAGGCTGTGATCTGCGCTTGCCCTCATCCTTGTTGTTGCCGTTTCTTTGGCTTGCCTGCTCAGCCGGTTGATCGGCTTGCTTGGCAGCCTTCTTTGCGGCAATTCGATCGTCGTCCCAAAGTGCGTAGCGCTCAGCTGTTGCCAAAACTTCTACCAATGTTTGGCAGGGAGAGATGGTCAGCTCACCATACAGCTCACACTCAGTTGGCAAACCCCTCTTGAAGGCAGAGGACGCAACTTGGTCATCACATCCTATGATTTTTGCCCTCTCCGCCTTGAACCTCTTGATGTAGTCTCGGAGGGATTCGTCGGACTTCTTGTACAAGTTGAACAGATGGTCAGGGTTCTTCTTAAGAAGTGTATTCCTTGGTGAAGACATAAGCAAGCTCCTTGAAGCTGCTGATCGACCCAGATGGCAGGGTGTAGAACCAGTCCTGAGCTGCTCCTAGCAAAGTCATTGCAAACACTTTGCACATTAACGCGTCTTCAGCCTTGTGGAGGATCATAACGCTCTTGAAGTGCTTTAGATGACTTTCAGGATCAGAATCCCCTTTGAAGCATGTGAAAGAGGGAGTTGAGAATCGTTTCGGGGGAGCAGCCTGTTCTATTTCGGCGGTAAAAGGTGAGGAGTTTGCTTGGTCTACCTCCATGCGTAATGCATCTTCGAAATTTCCGCCAATCCTTAAATCTCGAAGTCGGTTATTTACAAGCTTCTCAACATCTTCCGCACACATAGCTGGTTAGTCACGTTGGTGATCTTCGCGATTTGGGCGACGCTGATTGACTTCCTCGTTGGTTCGCAAGTGTCGACCTTCTCGGCTGTGCTGCCTAGGAGGTGTGTTGGTGAACTGCGCTTGCGAGGAATTTCTTGTAGCATGTCGACGGGAATTGGTTCTTCGGGAGCGGGTAGCGGAGCGCCTTTCTTCACGATCCTCACTGTGGGGGTCGTCAGGTTGACCTCCCTGGGGGCCTGGCCTTTCGTGAACATTGGTCCTTGAACTCGATCCGGATGAGAAACTTCGTCTGCTTTGAGTGTGGCTTGCTGATGCTTGCGACATGTCGGCAAGCTGATCACGTTGTTGTCCATCTCCTTGTCTGCTTACTCCTGCTCGACCTGCTCGGTACCCATCGAACTGCATATCGGCGCGTTCGTCCATCCTTCTCTCTTCGCCCTGTTGTCCAAGGCCAAGGTTTTGAGCCAAGTTTATTTGGTTGAGGAGCTGACTCATCAAACTGTTTTGGTCATCCATTCTCTGAGTTAGCTGGTCAACTCTCATATTGAGGTATACTTGAGAGCTGTTCCTAGCAAAGTCATTGCAAACACTTTGCACATTAACGCGTCTTCAGCCTTGTGGAGGATCATAACGCTCTTGAAGTGCTTTAGATGACTTTCAGGATCAGAATCCCCTTTGAAGCATGTGAAAGAGGGAGTTGAGAATCGTTTCGGGGGAGCAGCCTGTTCTATTTCGGCGGTAAAAGGGGAGGAGTTTGCTTGGTCTACCTCCATGCGTAATGCATCTTCGAAATTTCCGCCAATCCTTAAATCTCGAAGTCGGTTATTTACAAGCTTCTCAACATCTTCCGCACACATAGCTGGTTAGTCACGTTGGTGATCTTCGCGATTTGGGCGACGCTGATTGACTTCCTCGTTGGTTCGCAAGTGTCGACCTTCTCGGCTGTGCTGCCTAGGAGGTGTGTTGGTGAACTGCGCTTGCGAGGAATTTCTTGTAGCATGTCGACGGGAATTGGTTCTTCGGGAGCGGGTAGCGGAGCGCCTTTCTTCACGATCCTCACTGTGGGGGTCGTCAGGTTGACCTCCCTGGGGGCCTGGCCTTTCGTGAACATTGGTCCTTGAACTCGATCCGGATGAGAAACTTCGTCTGCTTTGAGTGTGGCTTGCTGATGCTTGCGACATGTCGGCAAGCTGATCACGTTGTTGTCCATCTCCTTGTCTGCTTACTCCTGCTCGACCTGCTCGGTACCCATCGAACTGCATATCGGCGCGTTCGTCCATCCTTCTCTCTTCGCCCTGTTGTCCAAGGCCAAGGTTTTGAGCCAAGTTTATTTGGTTGAGGAGCTGACTCATCAAACTGTTTTGGTCATCCATTCTCTGAGTTAGCTGGTCAACTCTCATATTGAGGTATACTTGACTTCGTGGATCGGGAGGAGAGAAGTGTGTGGAGCCGAATTGCACACGGGCTAGGGTTTCATTAGAGGTGTGAGCGGGAGCATGCGTCGAGTGTGGAGGCAATGGAGGGAATGGCTGAAGTTGCTCCAAGATTGGGCCAAAGTCGGCGGTGGTAGTGAGCCCACCTTGATGGGAGGTTCCACCATACTCGGCGGCAGTGCTATGAAGGTGGCTAGATCCGGCCACGGGGCCATGAGATGGTACGACGAAGGCTAGTGCAGTGGTCCCAGCTGGCGGTCCGGCAGGTGGCGCGGTGGTTTGTTGCGGGTTCATGGCGGCTAAAGGTGGTGGTGCCACCATGTCGATCGCGGGATCGTGGGAGGAGTAGCTTTGGGCCGTCACGGATTGAGCCATCGCGGCGGTCTTGCTCCTCGTGCGCTTGCTTCCAACCATGGTTGTTTGGAAGGCTTCGGTGGATTGGAAAATAGGAGGAACGGATTCCTTGAGCACGCGTTGAGTATAACTCGTGCTCTCAATGAAAGCACCAAATGTTTGTGCAAATAATCTCGCGGGAGAATATTCGCTTCTAGATCCTTCAACCTTCGATCTTCCTTCTCTCTCCTTCTCGATTCCTGTAAAAAAGACTGGAGTAAATAGACCACACCCGGGGGGTGTTGGCCAAAGGCCCTCCGATGCCTAAGT